TGAAGCTCTAACCCGAAAGTTTTTAACCCGACCCGAACCGAAATTTCGGGTCGGGTTCGGATTGGCCTATAACCCGATCCGACCCGATCCGACCCGTTCGGAGCACTAATTGGGAGTCCCCTTTGCACTACAACTTGTTCCCTAATTCTGACAATTGCTACGCGTTGTTTTAAATTATCAATTAAAAAATTGTAAATAACCGAATAAACATTTTTTTATAAATATTCAAATTAGTGTTATGTGCTGAGTTACATCAATTATTAATATTTGGTAACGTTATTATCCACCGTCTGATATATCAAGACCGACGACGAAGCCACTTGTATGTGAAATTTTTATCTTTTTATAAAAAATTATAAAAAATGGATTAAAAAGTTTTTTAAAAAACTTGAAAATCAAAAGTCACATGTAAATTAACATTCATAAACAATTTTGCACATAGCGAAATCCTCAATTTTTTGTCCAAAAACTATTAAACAAAAAAAAGCGAAATTGTTATGTAAAATTGGTGCATGTACTACGAATTAAAGTTTTGATTCGAAAGTTCGATTGGAGCTCTATAAAAAGTTGTAACGCGGAAATACTTATTTGTGTGAGTGACAAAAACTAAATAAGGAAATTCAAACCAAATTCAGAAATTTAGAAATTCAGGGTTAGGATTTAAAGATAAAGGAGATAGAAATTAATAAACATTTCCTAGACGTAACGTTTCATTTCTGTTATTTTTAAGCATTGCCCCTTGTATTTACGCTTATTTTACTTTTGCTCCTGTCTTTTTTCTCTTTGCTCACGTGTCGAGTTGATCAGGATACTCAATTTTACTTATTTTGATTGGCCAATTTTCCCTTTTTTGGATTTGTATCACTCGCATAATTACAGAAGTAAGTGCATTCGACAGCGATGCAAACTCTGAAATAGTAGTACATACGTATGTATGTACATTTGCAGTTAAATGAGTACACTGCAAAAAACATGCCTGGAGTATATATAATGCATGTGCTCAAAGAATGGTTTTGCCGTGTACTTACTCATTTACCTTTATTTTTGAATCAATCAGATTTTCGGTATTCCTCATATTTAAAAGTAAAATGGATCATAATAATTCGATAATTAATCATAACAAATCAACTAATTTGGACCTTTTTGACCTTGGAAACAATCATCAACACGGGTTAAGGATTGAAAGGCATGAATATAAAGGGTTTATTTATTACCAAAAATATGCAGAGAGAATTAACCAAGTTGGATATTGTTACCATTATGGAATCGGGGTTGAAAAGGATGAACATAAAGCATTTATTTATTATCAAAAATCTGCCGAAATGGGTAATTCTAATGGAGTATTCGGAGTTGGATATTGTTATGATAAAGGAATTGGTGTTGAAAAGGATGAGCATAAGGCATTTATTTATTATCAAAAATCTGCTCATATGGGAAATCCTAATGGGTTATTTGGAGTTGGATATTGTTATGAAAGAGGAATTGGTGTTAAAAAGGACGAACGTAAAGCATTCATTTATTATCAAAAATCCGCAAGGATGGGGAGCGTTAGAGGAACATATAATATTGGTTGTTATTATGAAAAAGGAATTGGAATTGAAAAGGATGATCATAAAGCTTTCATTTATTATCAAAAATCTGCTGAGATGGGGCATTCTAAAGGAGCATGTAATGTTGGATATTGTTATGAAAATGGAATTGGAATCGAAAAGGATGAACATAAGGCATTCATATATTATCAAAAATCTGCAGAGATGGGGAACGTTGATGGAACACATAATATTGGTCATTTTTATCAACATGGAAAAGGAGTCGAAAAGGATGAGCATAAGGCATTCATTTATTATCAAAAATCCGCAGAGATGGGTAACTCTAATGGAGTGTTTGGAGTTGGATATTGTTATGAAAAAGGAATTGGTGTTGAAAAAAATGAATATATGGCATTAATTTATTATAAAAAATCTGCTGATATGGGTAATTCTAGTGGAGTATTTGGAGTTGGATATTGTTATGAAAAAGGAATTGGTGTTAAAAAGGATGGACAGAAGGCATTCATTTATTATAAAACATCTGCAAAGATGGGAAACGCTGATGGAACATATAATGTTGGGTGTTATTTTGATAAAGGAATTGGAGTTGATATAGATAAACATAAGGCATTCATGTATTATCAAAAATCAGCAGATATGGGAAATTCTTATGGAATGAACAAGCTTGGAAATTGTTATGAAAATGGAATTGGAGTTGAAATGGATGAAAATAAAGCGTTCAAATGGTACATGAAATCCGCAAAGATGAGTAATGTCATTGGAATACATAACGTGCGTTTATGCTATCTATCTGGATTCGGTGTAACCAGGGATTTACAACTAGCTGACTATTGGTATCGAATGTAAGTGATATTTAAATAAATATGTTTATACTTGACACAAGCTTAATAAATTATATAAATAGGGGACAAACCGAATTTACAATAACTAACTTAAATGATGATTTAAAAGAAATATTGTACGATGAGAAATATCATCGATTATTATGGATTCCATATAATGAATTTGAAAATATCAAAGAAATATATAAGGGTGGTTTTTCAACAATATATCGTGCAGATTGGTCCTGTAGTCTTTTTATAAAATCGAAAATTGCCCTTAAATCATTATATAAAACAAATTATAATGAATTTATAAATGAGGTAATATTATTTTTAATATTTCATTCTATTTTTAATTGATTATTGGTAAATGACTAATTTATTTAATTAGCTAAAAGCATATAGTAAAATCGGATACGAAAATCCTTCATCGCTGAAATGCTACGGAATAACACAAGATCCAGATTCCAAAGAATATATTCTTGTCTTAGAATACGCATCAATGGGCTCTTTACGAGATAATCTTCAAGACGTATATCGAATGAAATGGAAACATAAATTAAACCTATTAAACTATATTATTTCTAACCTTGAAGCAATTCATTCTAAAGGATATATTCATCGAGATTTACACAGTGGAAACATTTTACAAAATAATTTACATAGCGCATATATCTCTGATCTTGGATTATCCAATTCCAATTACGAGCAAAAGAAAGGCAAAATTTTTGGGGTTCTTCCCTATATTGCCCCAGAAATTCTAATTGGTCAACCATATAGTATAGCATCGGATATTTATTCTTTTGGAATAATTATGTGGGAAATCTTATATGGGATGCCTGTATCTTATGATCATAATTTTAGTGAACGTCAGCTTCAATTAAAAATATGTTATAATGATTTACGACCACCTATTAACAAAGAAGCTCCAAGATGTTATGTAAATTTGATGAAAGAATGTTGGAATAAAGAATCTAAAAATCGACCATCAGCCGAAAAAATCTCTGAAACTTTCATGAAATGGCAAAAGGATGAAAATATTTTATTTGAATTAAATAATTCCATATTAAAACTTGAAAATATTGAACAATCTTATGCAGATTTATTTAATACTGGAAGCAAGTTTGTACCGCATAGTGAGTCAATTTTGGATATTGATAAAGAATTACAAAATTTTACAATCAATAATTACTGATTTGTTTTTTTTTTATGGATGTTATTTTTTTTATTTTTTTTATTTTAAGTATACATTTATACTAAATTATATTAGGTATTGGAACTGCCTAAAATTTCTTAAATTGTTTAATTTGGCCTTTATTAAGATAGTCTTGTATGGAAATGCTAATTTTCAACTTCAAAGAAGATCAAATTTTATACGTTGTTAAAAAGATTATTTAATAGATTGTTTTTAACATATTTTAAAATTTTAATAATCGAGTTTGTGTATAATTTTTGATAACTTAGTATTAATTGCGATTTAATATACTTAAAAATATAAATACAGTCAAACTCCTTTATAGTCACACCATGGGATACAAAAAACCGTGATTATAAAAAGGTATGATTAATATTAAGGTAGTTCTAAATACAGTCAATCACCTCTATAGTCACAAAATTAATTAATTACAAATTTATTTTTACAAATTTATTGTTTAGTCACCTCCTTTATAGTCACAATTTATTTTTTTTATTTTTTTCGTAAGATTTTTTATTGGGTTGATTAAGTGATATTCGTTGTTCGTCAAAAACGCTAGCAAATTAATTTTCGGGTAACCAGATAACCAGATAATTTATTACATGATGCCTTGTAAACTGCCCGATACTGTATATCAAATGCTTCACAATATATTAATGAGATGCTAGATCAATTCTCATTTGTACGTTACTTGGACTATTTGTTAACGACTATATCTGCTTTCGTTCCTGGTTTCTAGCGCGCAGCTACCTTATTAAGAATGTAAACGCAAAGCTAAAAATGCGAGTCCTATTGGATAATATTTTTACAAGGCTTAATATATTTCACGTAATCAATAAAAAATTATAAATACAACCCGACTACGATAAAGAATTTCAGGGCCTATGCGCAAATAGAGCTTAATAAGATGATATAAAATTTTTATACAAAAATCTTCTCCACTTTAGTCAAAAAGGAAATGTGCCGGATCACGATTAGAAGCACAACTAATAAATAACCATTTCAGTAAAAAGACTAGAGGGTGTTAAAACATTGCACAGCTATCTTATTCAGTATGAAAACTTATTCAATCATTAAATATTTGTTAATTTGAATATAAATATATAAATGTTTATTCGATATTATGGTTTTAATTCGTACATAATTTATTAATACAATCTAATAATCATACTCATCCCAAACTCCTTGAAGTAACTCAAGCACATAGTTATATTCTAAAAATTTTAAGAAACTGTACCACCTTAGGGAGAAACATTACTGTTAGTAACGGAAGATGTATTCGTTTTATTGGAGTTTAATATTGAAGTATCAACAATGTTTTCATAGAATTGGACTTTCTTTATTAAATTATCAAGCTCATTTCGAATTGAGGAAATCTCATATTCTTTGGTGTTAGATGTTTTTTTAATATCAGGTTCTTCAGATTGTAAATCCACTGCCAACGATAAAAGGTTTGCTCGATATTTATCTTTGAATAGTCTTGATTTTTGTACAAAACCCCATGGTGAAATTATACCAATTCCTATTTTTTTAAAAAAAGAACTAATAATAAGTAAATAAATTAATTGTTCAACTGTGATTTAATTTTAAAATATCAACTTACCAAATAAAGATATATAAAAAGCCACCATGGAGCTCCAAATACCACCAATAATACCCAGTAAACCTAATAACTATTTATTTAAAATTATAGCTAAATATTTTTTGCTTAAAATTAAAATATATGCATAATACTTACAGATTTGCTCCTATTATCAATATTTTGTAATATTAATTTTAAGTGATGATAAATATTAATAAAACGGAGTTGCTTAAGATTATTTACCTTTGTTCTATTTCTTTTCTTATAACAAGTCCTTTAGGTGGAATAAAAGTTATCGATGTAAAATAGGATCCGTTTATAGCTTCTGTATTACGAGTCAACTTGGATATTAGAAAGTAAAGATGAATTATACAAAATAATAAGATGTTGGATCAAATATAGTATTTCAGAAACACCTAATTTTACGAAATTAAGTAATTGTGCTTTATTTATATTGATTATCATATATAAGTAATAAAATAATTTTTCGTTATGTGTCTTATAAATTTGGCTTGATTATGGTACTGCTTAGGTCAATTTTATGAACTATTTTGTCGGCAGTCATTTCATTGATAAAGTTGGGTGACCTGATATATTGTTAAGTTAGAGGTAGGTTGTTGATGAACCTTGTCTAAAATTGTGATTAACATATTTTTCGTAATGATTTTAACATCCTCACAATGTAACGATTTGTTTGTCTATCTTTCATGATTTCAGCAGTGATTGACATGTTAGTAATTTAAAAGTAGCAGCTTCATAATTTAACAATAGGTAAATTAGTGAATTTAATAAATTGTGATTTAATGGTTTCAGGGATTCACAGTTTCAATAGAGAACGGCTCATGATTTTATTGGTGAGTTGACTCATGATCTTGATAGTGGGTGGCTTAATGTTTAATAGTGAGTGGTTAATATAGATAGTCTATAATTTCAGCAGTGAGTGAGTAGTATTGATTCCGTTCCTCGTTTGGATAGTTTAAAGGGATTTTAGGATACTTTCATAAAATTAGGTGTCTCTAGCAAATTTTCCAAATGCGTCACTTATACTATATTTGATCCAGAATGTTTTTTAATATAAATATTCCTACGGTTAGAAGTTGTATTAAACATTGTATCAGGAAATGGAACAACCTCTATAGTTAAATAACAAATAATTTTAGTATATAATATAAAATTGAAAAATATTTAATACAAGCATTCTTACGTAATTCTGATTCAATATAAGGTTGATCCTTGTACTCAGCATGCAATGAATAACCAAGACAACCTAAAAATGATGAACTTATGGGTTGCCTTATAACTCTATTAAATTTCCAATAATATGCCTATAAATATTTAAAATAAGTAAATTTGCAAAATTATCACTTTTTAAAATTTTAAGTATACATACAATTCTATCATTTTTAGGTTGCGATAATAAATACACATTTTTATAAACAAGCGTTTTTTCAAATGCGGTTAGTGGATAATTAAAATTTATGTGTAGATCATATTCTAAATTACATAAGTTTTTCGTATTATTACAGTATCATCATTATTGAACTCAAATATGCTATTCATTTTATAATCTTGCCTGCATCATAGGCTTCCATTGTCAAGGATTGTTGATAGGAAGAATTATATCCAGGGTCGGTGATAAAAATATAAAGTATAATCAAAGGGAGATCACCAGAAGTGAAGATATAATTTGGTATAAATGTTCCAACGTAAGGCGAAGTAAACGGAGGATACAAAGAACCATTATATTTATTCGGATTGATAAAATTAGAACAACTAGTAAATTTACTATTAGATTCTAAAAAATAAGAGTCAGATGTGTGCATAATATGAAATAAATCATAAACGAATTGGAGAAACTCGCTCTGTAAATTAGTAAAATCCATTACGCAATGCTTTTCACCTTGATGTGATTCACGTGGCTGATTCCCTAATGTGATTCAAGTATCGGAATCCCTGATGTGATTCACGTAGCGGATTTTTACTAATTTGCAGTGCGAATTTCGTACCCTGTCGTATTATAAAAATATTTACTCGAATTTAAAAGCCAATAGCAATCAATAGTAAAATTATAATTATACGAAAAATATATGTCTACATTGATTTAAATTGATTTAATGTTATAATTTTCTGATTTATTGTTTTTAACTTAACAATTCTTACTTGGTAAGGGCAATTCATCGGATGTGGTGAACTGTGTACTAATATTAGGCTGCTCTTTGAACAAATCAATACATAATAATAAAAAAATAGCAGATAATATTACTATAAATACGATGATAACAAAACGTTGAATTTTTATAACCGGCTCAAGGTCGTTTACGCGTTTTCGAAATAAGTCATTTAACATTTTTATCTATCGCTAAGATTCTATTTTATGAAAGATATAATTTTTAACCTTGCATTTCTTTAAATATTAACAGTTTGTATAAAATTGGTCATGAACAAGCAACAAATAAATATTTAAAAAGGATCCTTTTTGCTTTGTTTGATTTTATAATGTTAATCTCGATATGGCATAACATTAACAATTTGGTACGTACATGTTTTTTTTTAGTATATCGTCATCGTTATACAGATAATTCTTATTTTCAATGAGTTGTTGGTAACTTATCTAAATTTATCCAGTTTTTACTATTCTGGGACAATCTAAGTAGAGTAAATTGTCATTTTGGTTAAATTAATTTTTTACATTGTCACGAGCTTAGCGGAGCATAGCACGTTTGGGTAAAATTAGCCATTAACGTAAAGTATGGGCGAAAATTGTTGATGGATACAATATAATTACATAACCACTCCGAATAATAAAAATATATTATGTGGCATCACTATATCAAACTATTAATAATCAAATATACAATTAACCAATCAAATACAAATAAAATATTTAATTTAATCATGCTTTCATAAACAGTTTCATGACGGTTCCATAAGCAATTCATAACTCAGAAAACAATCAGCCAATCATACAATTCATACAATTCAATTTTATTATATTTTTATTTTTAATGTCTAATACCAACGTCACATAAATGATTGGGTCAAATATTATGAATTATTATCTATTTTTAATAATCACCAAAATTGACAAAATCCGCCAATGATGCCGTAACTATATTAACTTGAAAAACTAAATCTATTGGATAATATAGTTGATAATTGATCTAGGGGTGGACATAAACACAAAATCTGGTCTATTACCCCCGCAGTAAATGTCTCATAATTAGAGTGAAATAGTGATGGCGCAAAAATTTGGCGGTCCCGTGATTTTTATCAAATCCGATTGTAAGATCAGCGTGTAAC